TACAGAAGAATGCTTAGAATACCTTGGACAGCCAAAAAGAGCAACCAAGAGGTTTTAAAAGAGGCGGGAGACCGAAGACAACTTATCACTGACATCAGAAGGAGACAGTCATCATTTTTCGGCCATGTTATGAGAAGAGGGAAAATAGAACATGTTGTGACCACTGGAAAGATCTGTGGAAGGAGGGATAGAGGAAGACAACGAGAGAAGATGCTTGACAGTCTTGTTGCATGGCATGGAGGTGTGTCGGCACACGAACTGATACATGCTGCAGGAGATCGCGGATTATGGAGAGGCATGATCGCCCACGCCAGTCGGCAAGGCCCCTGATGATGATGATGATGATGATGATACTTAGTTGCGGAAAGGGGGGGGGGAGAGGTTTAGCCCCCTTGTACATTTTACAGGGGAGTAGAGGAGAGGAAAGACTTATCTGAAAATAACGGGGCGGGGGGGGGAGGGGGGGGGGGCTAGCTGGCGGGAACTGTCTGCAAAGCTTCGAAACCATTTGGGTACGCAAAACCAATCCATTATAGCATAGGTTGCTGACCTTTCAGACACGATCCCGTTTTGTAGAGGCGAAGTGACCTGTGACCTCAGGCATTAAAAAAGTTATATATATATATATATATATATATATATATATATATATATATATATATATATATATATATATTTATATATATATAATTTTAAAAAATAACGATATATTCAATGCGATGATTGAAACTGTAACTCATTAACAAGCTTAGAAAATGTTGTCTCATCATCATCATCATGAAGCAGTTCCTTTGCAGAACGTCGCTCTCATCACGGTCTGTCTGAAAGAAACTCGGTCTCTCGCCAGCTCTCCCGCCTCATGTATTTTCATACTCAATGAGTCACTTATATCGTGTGCCAATCTTCGTGTCGGTCGGCCCCTGCACCTTCTTCCTGGTACCATGCCTTCTGCTATAATTTTTTCCAATCCGTGGTGTCGCTTTATATGACCAAAATATTTAAGAAATGTTGTCTACCAAAGCAAAAGAAGTATTTCTGCTTCTCTTAGTTACATACTTGTACCATCGGAATTGTAACTTTTCGCTTGTTGCTGAAGATGGGGGCGGAGCGCTTATGGAGGTGCCCCGAGTGCTGTGATGTCGATTCTTATTTCAACATTCAACATTATTCAGTGACACATATCTCTATGATGCCCAATGAGTTGTTAATCCGTGCATTACAGGGACTTCGTAATTGCTTAAATTCGTTTGCGGATGTAAACAGGGGGTGAATTAGCATATCATTTACTGCCTGACTGCGATTTGACATAGCTTGGTAAAGTTACCTTCATACATAGTTTTAAGATATTTCGTTGTCAACAAGCAAAAGGAAAATCGAACTGAGTCTCTGGATATGTGTAATGTACAAAAGAACGGGTTGTATTTCATTTAAACAAAGATAATAAAATATAGAGGTTCTTAAGATGTTAGCAATTGAAACCCACTTGCTGAAGGACACCTATTCTGCTAGTTAGAATCAATGGAAGACCAGTCTAATTAGTAACGAGCACAAGGTTTCTAGGAATTATTTTGGACGAACAGCTGAACTGGGGCAAACATTTTGACACAACGGTAGACAAATGTAAAAGAATTAGCTACTTATTTTTAAAAAGGATAATTAAGGGGATCGATGGGATGCTCATCAAACCACTCTCTTACAATTTTATAAAGCTTTCCTGGTAGGGAAACTAGAATTTGGAAGCATTGTCTATGATTTAGCAACTGAATGCACACAAATTAAACTCGATTCAGACGAAGCAGACGCAATAATCTATACAGACGGATCCGTTATACGCCAAAGAAGAAGCGCATGGGCATTTACAGCACGCTCAGCGGGCAGAACAGTCAAAGAAGCCAACGGCGCCTTCTCCATGACAACCAGCAGCATGACGATGGAGGTGATGGCAGTGACACAAGCGCTTGCCTGGCTTGAAACACAAAAATACACCCGCGTGTGTATACTCAGTGATTCAATGAGTATGATCCGGAGGGTTCAGGCAGGTTCAGTGCGAAGACAATGGCTTGAATCATTACAGAAGTCCACTGTTCGTGGAGTCACCTTTATTTTTGTTCCGGGAAACGCAGGCGTCAATGGAAATGAAAGAGCTGACAGGTTGGCTGGATCCGCTATCACTACCGACGGTCAGCCTATGGATCATGCTGATATTATCAATGCCCTCAGAGAAATTGGAAAAATAGAGGACTTTGGTGGCAGTGAATCCACATCACTCGCCAGAATGGCAGACTTGGGAATTAAGATCGGCACAGCAAAAAACGAGACGCACACCAGCTACGCCAGAAGACTTGTTAATCAACATAGAACTGGTACTATTAGCCATCGGACGTTGGGGTTCATACTGAGGGGAGGATCTGAGCACCTATGGACATGTCCGGAGTGCAATGAGGATAACCCAACTAACTAACTAACTAACTAACTAACTAACTAACTAAATTAAACTCGATTGTATACAGTGCCAAGCACTGGTCACCATTATAGGTGCAGGTAAAGTTATAGCAAGAGAAGTAACCGAAGTAGCGCTAGGTACAGCACTGATAAATCTGAGAATGAAGCAATTAATATTCAATTACTGGCTTCAGACCGCACAGTCATGATCACCCAGCATGCGACTCTGACTGACTGACTGACTTTCTACCCCTTTAGGACAGCACACAAACGATAAACACCCAATGACACAAAGTGCCACCATGTGGGTGAGGATCGCCGTGGAGAGGTCCCAGAAACCGCGTTCAGGCAATTGGCCATATTTATGGCCTGCCTATATTGCGGCCCCTGGCAAAAGCCAGGGTGGGGCTTCAAATAACAAAAAAATTTCATCCTAAAAAGGACGAAACTGGATAACTTCTGCATGCGACGCTTTAAACACCAGTACAAATAAGTTCAAAGGGGTGCCAATAAGAAACATTTTTTAGGCCAGCAGGATAGCATGCTGCAGTAGAAGGAACTAGCAAGGACATTTGTACTGAGTAAGAGTTAGGTGAGTTGATTTCAGTCTAGAATTGACATCACAGCACTTAGGGCATTCCCATTCGCGCTCCGTCAATATCCTCAGCAGCCAGAACAGAGTTCCAGTACGAATGATGGCAGTCGTATTCTGGTTGTATGTCCGTTTTGGCTTTCCTCTGAGCGTAGTGAGCCGGACCAGCTCTCTGGTCACATCCAGGGGCATCATTCTCTCCAGCGCCTAATTATCTAGTCTGAGTCTCTCATTATGTCGACTAGTTCGGCTGTGAAAAAAGTCCTATGATCGGTAATTTTCAAGATTTTTTGTATTCTTCAATATAGAATAACTCCTGCTTAACCTTTCTCAATTGTTGATCCATCAGTGTATATTGTCAGGTTATCAGTTTCTATGTTTCTTATGTGTTCCTCCTCTATGGTCCCTAAGTGTAGTGATTCAGTGTTTTGTTATTTAAGTCTGTTTTGACAGGCTTGTTTTCATATGGTGGTTTCAATTCCCATGGTGGTATCTGAGGTTTATATCTCTTACTCAAACAAGATAATTATGGGCTGGAGAGAATGATGCACCTGGGTGTGACCAGAGGGTTCGGCTGGCACACTACACTCGGAGGAAAGCCAAGACGGACATACAACCAGAATACGACTGGCACCATTCGTCTTGGAACTCTGCGCTGGCTGCTGGGGATGAGGACGGAGCATGCATGGTAATGCCCCGAATGTTGTGATGTAAACTCTTGACTCAACTTAACACAGATCACGATCCCTGGTTGCCTGAAACAGCTCTCTTGATGATATTCCCCATGCCATCGTTTCAGCCCACCCAGCATCATCTCTCTTTATCTGCTCTACCCCTTTTCCTGCTGATCTTTCCACTTGTCACGATGTTCTCCAATGTAGTAACATATCAAATCATGAAAAATCCGAAAAACACAGGATGAAAACTACGTCAAAAAGCCAGTCGCAGCGTATTACAACAATGACACCTAGGCAAAGTAATGATAAAGGTAAGGCAGCAGAGTTGCAACTTGCTGTAGGCATGACCTGCCACTGTGCAATAAGCACAATTGATCATCTGAGTGAAATCATTATAGCGCATGGTCGGGGGAGTACATTACAGCAGATACAGTTGCACGGAACTAAATGTTCTTGCATAATAAATACAATGTCCTATCGTCTGCACACAAGTCTGAAATGGTTTACGCTGTATCTTCCACTTGTTCCAGTCAGGATGACGGTCAGGAATTCAATCTAAAGCTTTTGATGTGAAGTTATTACGATGGTAAATTTTATTTGGCTTTAATCTGGCTTAATTTTAGTAGTAGTATGGCTTAAAATGAAGTTTTTTCAATATCTGGCATCCCTGGTTATGAGTAGCAGGGCTGGCAATGATGGGTTTTTACCTCCAGATATGGTTTTTATTTGACGCCTTGGGTTCAAATTTTGCAATCTGGGGTTTGAAAAAAAAATATTTCCTTATATAAAAGTTGTTAACAGTTTCGTTCGTAACTATAAAATTTGTACTTTTTAAAAATCTGGGGTTTTATTTTTCATTTCTAATGCATTGCTTGGGTTTTTGTTCAGCTTAGCTGGGTTTTCAATAAAATCCTATTAGCAGCCCTGGACTCAGGGCTACCAATGCTGGGTTTTCTCCCCCAGATCTGGGTTTTTATTTGACGCCTGTGGGAAATTATATAAAAGTGTTAAATGCTTCGTTTTGTAAATTTTGTACGTTTTAACAATCTGGGTTTTTTTTTTTTAGGTTCTTAGTCTATGTATTGCTTGGGTTTTTGTTCAGCTAAGCTGGGTTTTTCAAAAAAAATCCCACTGGCAGCCCTGCCTGGACTCCCTTTTGTTTTGCCGGAAGTGTCTCATTTCCAGTTGGCGAAGAAGAAGCTGGACAAGAAGTTGATAGTGAAAATACTTGATAGACAATTGAGGATTTAACTGTCCCTTTACGCCATCTCATTGAAACCATTTCAGCAATGGGCTACGCAATTTTTGGACCGAAATGCTCCACGTATTACATGATTCTGAGTTTTTGGGGTGTAATCATGTTGGTATGTAACTATGTAAACGTACTACTGCTACACGTCTTTTTGTTTTTACTCTTTCGCAAAGGCAGAGCCATTTCATTACAGTCATGTTGCTAGTTCGTTGTGTTCCTCTCTTTTTCTTTTTCTTCTTCTTCTTTGCGTTCACCGACCGTGTTAACTCGTGTAAAAAGTTCTGATTGTTCATCCCCTTATTCCAGATGTCGTGTTATGCTTGCACAACCATTGTGCACACCTGAGTATATAATTAGGGACCTCACTGACTGCTCCCTGAGTGTAGTGAATTTTGGCTCTCCTTTAAATAAATAACGGTCCCAAATGATCTACGCAGAAACCCTAACAGAGCCTCATTACGTCCTGCCCTACAAACATTTAAAAGCTGTAACTCGGGAAAAATAACGAACGAAAAGTATGAGGAAAATGGAGGAATTCTACTACTTACCGATATTGAAATCCTTTATACGTGAAAATTGTGGCACAGAAGTTGCAAATAGTGCCCGAATATCTGTTCTTTCTCGCTGTGTCGCCATTTCAACAGGCCGCGGCTTGTCCGCGATTCTCCTTGCGGGCGAGACATAATCAGTAATGCGCGTTTTAATGTACTCGCATGTCGCCTCGGGACAACTTCAAACCAGCAGCAGCCACTATCCCGACGACCCCTGGACCGTGGCGAATGCGACCGTGCCGGCAGTTACGACGCAAGAAGTAGCTCATGACTGTTTTCCTGTGATTATAGTGCCACCTCCGAGAGTATCCCCCGGGGCTAAACTAGATGGCTAGGACTCACGAGCAAATACAGTGGAGGAAGCTGCAGGAGAAGTGGTAGCTGCTGCTCGTGAGTCCTAGCCATCTAGTTTAGCCCTTTCACGGCGCGGGGATACTTTCGGAGGTGGCACTATAGTCAGCGAAAAGTGGTCCGCAACTTACATATAACTGTGGCCCTGCTGTAGGATAGCACTATCGGGAGTATTTTTGCATGTCGCTAATTTGTCGTCTGTAGTTAATCCTAGTTTTGCCGCCGTTTAATCGCCGTAAAAATGTCCGTTGCGTTTCGCGAAAATGTCGTGCGCAATTAATCCTACTTTTGACACGGTTGAATCGCCACAAAAGAAATGCGAATTTTAGATATGAGTCAGGCTCTGTTTGGGTTTACATTCTGCGTAGATCATTTGGGACCGTTATTTTAAAGGAGAGCCTGAATTTTTATTTCAATATCAGCTATCCTCCAAATAACAGCCACATATAATGAAGGCAAAAACACACCCTGACGGCCTCAATTACATTTAAATTGCAGACTTCTTTCCGGCAAATATACCGGGGCAAAAGTTTGATAAATTTCTGGCGATGATGTTGCAAACCGCCAAGTTGAACCTGCCGCCAAGAGTTTGCCCAGTGTCGCTACGTGCGGCCCAGAGTGTGGCTAGACTAGATGGTTGGGACTCACCAGCAGCAGCTACTGCATTGTGCAGCTTCCTCATTTTATTTGCCATCTATTTGAGCCGCCCTCCGCGGCGCATGCAAGCGTGGGGGATACTCTCAGTGATGAAAACTGCCTTACCAATGCGGCACCGATCATATTTAGCCGAGTATCAATGGCGCCACAGTCAAAAAGAGCAGATTTTTGGGCACTATTTGCAACATCTGTACCACTATTTTCAGATATAAAAGGCCTCAGTTATCGCCAAGTAGTCGATTTCGCCATTTTTCCTTTTTTTTTTTTCCTCCTCATTATTTTTTAGTTCAAGTTTTTAAATGTTCACAACCCACGACCTAATAAGACCCTGTCAGGGTGTGTTTTTGGCCGCCATAATATGTGGCCGTTATTCGGGGGATAGCCTCAATATTTGTTATGTTTAATATTGTTTGTAATGTTGACTGCATCAACTTTGTCAAGCGGTGTAAAATGTAATTTCTCTAAACACATCTGAGTCCTAGTTGTTTTGGTTAAGTTTTATTAAAGATATTCATCCTTACCACGATTTTGGACCTAGTACTAGTATTACTTTTTGGTCTCTGGAAAAGCTAAAGGGGAAGCAGATGCAGAACAGGGAAACTGAGGGAAAAGATGTTGAACAGTTTGACATCATGGCAGGGAAGATCATCTCTGTCAAAATTGATAATAAGTTCAGGAGACAGTTCTTTTATTTTATTCTACCCCATCTTGTGACTCCAGGATTTCCTGGAGAATTTCCTAAGACCGAGATCTGTGGCAAAGCATGAACGCCTACACCAGCTGGCAAGACACTTGATGATGATCGAAATTACTACCTAAATAAGTACATTGATCTGTTACTTTAATTCTTTATGTCTGTGGTATTACATCTGCTTCATCTGTTATTGATGTCTTCAATATATTTATCTTTTAATATCTGGATACATTGTATTTGTATTTTTCCTCTATTCAGACAATGCTGGGCATCTTTTTCAAAATCCGAAGCCCAGCTCTCTTTGAGGACATCGCAACCAACCAAAAGGAATGGGCCTTTTACAACTTCAGCGTGGAGTTTGTGCAGGAGAAATACGACATCAGTGCCATCAACTGTTGGATTGCTGCTGGATTATATGTGATCCTCTTTCTCTTCTCGTTCGTACAGCAAAGACTCAATTCTCAACAAGTCTATGACTCTTAAAATGGGAGAAGGGGAATTATAGAAGTAACAACAGATACTTATTTATCGTTTTATGCCAACATTTATAAGTCTTTGTTTTTAAATGTTGTCTTTTTTATTGGACTCACAAGTATGTGAAGACTGGTTCCTGTGATTTTTGTAAATAGTTTGCTTGAAATTTTCAGAGCAATGTGACATTATGGGGAATCATCATCATCATCATGTAGCAGGTCCTTTGCAGAACACGCTCTCATCACAGTCCGCCTGAAAGAAACTCGGTTTCTCGCCAGTTCTCCCGCCTCATGAACTTTCACACTCAAGGAGTCACTTATATCCTGTGCCCATCTTTGTGTCGGTCGGCCCCTGCCCCTCCTTCCTAGTACCATGCCTTCTGCTTTAATTTTTTTCAATCTGTCATTACGCTTGATATGACCAAAATATTTCATTTTCCAAGAAAGGATGCTGTTTATTAGCCACACTTCCTTGATGTTCAGATCTTTTAAGATGTCAATATTTCTCCTCTTCTTTGTCCAAGATATTCTGAGAATCTTTCTACAGCATTTCAGCTCAAAAGCCCTTATTTTCTTTCTTAAGGACTGAGAGATTATGGGGAATACAGAATCATTTATGTTATTAGGAATATTCTCAGTCCATATCACAGCTGGTTACTTTAATCTTTGGTTAAACATAGTTATTAGGAACTGCTTCCTTTCAGTTTGCATCAGAAAATTTGCTCTTTTAAATATCTGAATGTCAGTATTTCAGGTTGCATTAAAAAAAAAAAAATACATATTTCTCTATTTCTCTCTGTTTTGACATCGCAGCAATGACCTGTCTTTGCAAATCAAAGGTTTGTGCTCCCATGTGGGTTCCATTTCCAATCTCGGGGTTTGGAAAGTGGGGATTGGGTAGACTCACTGCCCCTCAACAAGCATGTCATAAAAGACAACTAATTAACCTTTTCCTGAAACTGGATGTGTTGGGCCATAAGTTGCATATTTTGGAGCTTAGCTGTAAACCACAACACAGCAAGTCGACGTTTGTTTTTTTTTAGTCTGTATGCAGAGGAAGTAAAGTTTATGCTGTCTGACATCTTCCAGTGTACAATAATCTCTAGTGAAATCTTGTTACCAAGGCAGACAAGGGAAGCAAACAGTAGTAACTCTAACCTTTCAGGTATGCTGTAAGAAGCAACTATGAAAGTTAGCATCCAGTTGGCTACTACTCCAGCCCATAGAAAACTTGGATTGCAAAATCCAGCCAATCATAAACAAGTTTACAAAAAGCTTGGCATGAGTTGTTTGAGCACCTAAGCCCTATTGGGGGGATGAAACACAGGTTAAGATAAGTCATTCATGTTTTAATATAACAATCTAGAGCTGAATTTCCTGTAGCATGTTGGTATCAGTTTTATTGAGTCTTGAGTTAACCTTAGTCATCCCCTTGTGGGATGCAATTTTTCGTTATTTGAAGCCCCAGGGGCTGCAATATAGCCCAGCCGTAAATATGGTCTAATGGCTGAACGCCGTTTCTGGGACCTCTCCACGGGTGATCCTCATCCACATGGTGGCACTTTGTGTCACCGGGTGTTTATCTCTTGTGTGGTGTCCTGGTGGGGTAAAAGAAGATAGAACTGAAAGAGTAATTGATTGTCTGAGTATAAATTTAAAGTGGTAATCGTCTCTCTTACCATTTAAGAACCGGAATTGCGCAGATTGAAATAGCTGGCTATAGTAGTGGTAGAAGTAGTCCAGGAGAGAACTGGGGTAACATGCGTTAAAGCAACAAGGAAATAAACTGTTTTAACAGTTACTGCAAATATGGGTTAGGGATATTATGAGTTAAAATAACAAAAAAATAAACAGTTATAACCATGACTGGAAATATGGGTTAGGGAGACATAGGTTAAAATAACAAAGGAATGCACACTGTTATAACAGCAATTGGAAATGTGAGTTAGGGATAGTATGGGTTAAAATAACAAAGGAGTTAGTACAGTTATAACAGTGGCTGACAATAAGGGCTAGGAATAGCAGGGGTTAAAATAACAAAGGAATTAGTACACTTATAACAGTGACTAGAAATTTACATAGCATCCTGTGGGATTGAAGGAATTAAATGCTGAATCTCAAGCTTTAAAAAATATGTTGTTTACATTTTGTGATATAATTTATATTGAAACAGTACTTTTTACTGTTCTTATTTGTTTCATTGTTGTTATTGTGTGCACATTTTTTAAAACAGCTTTCAGTGATGTTGTGTACCATATATAATTTCTGTATATTGTCATATTGCAGTATCTATTTTCGTCCCTTTTAGGACGAAATTTTTTGTCATTTGAAGCCCCACCCTGGCTTTTGCCAGGGGCTGCAATATAGGCAGGCCATACATATGGCCAAATGTCTGAACGCGGTTTGTGGGACCTCTCCTCGGCGATCCTCATCCACATGGTGGCCCTTTGTGTCATCGGGTGTTTATCGCTTGTGTGATGTCCTGGTGGGGTGGAAAGTCGGTCGGTCGGTCATATTGCAGTTTTGATTTAATGTTTTTTTTTTTTTTTTTTAGTTTTCAGTGCTGTATTAAAAGACAGACAATGTTTTGTGTGTCTGGACGTGTGTGTGGACGTGTTATGAGAAGATAATGACTCTATAATTTGGTAACAGCTGGCAAGGTTGATGGAAAGAGAGCAAGAGAAAGGGGAAGAGATAAATACCTGGATGGCCTGGCCAAATGGATGGGGCGGGACAAAAACATTGAACTGATCCGTGATTCTGGTGATCGTGTGAGATGGCAAAACATGACAGCCTACGTTTTACGGCATGGCACATGATAATTAAAAGTTCTTAGCAGACTGAATGCTGTGTGTTGAAAGTTGTCAGTATTTGTTGAAAATAGTCAGTGACTGAATGCTGACTACTGAAAGTTATCAGTTGACTGAATGGTATGTATTAAAAGTTATCAGTTGACTGCATGTTAGGTGATAAATATCAGTTGACTGAATGTTATCTGTTAAAAGTTATCAGTTGACTGAATGCTGTGTGTTAAATGTTATCAGTTGACTGAATGCTGTGCATTAAAAGTTACCAGTTGACTAAATGCTATGTGTTAAATTTATCAATTGATTGGCTGTGTAGTAAAAGTTGACTGAATGGTGTCTGTTAAAAAATGTTTCAGTTGACGAATGCTGTGTTTTAAAAGTTATCAGTTAACTGAATGCTGTGTTTTAAAAGTTATCAGTTAACTGAATGCTGTGTGTTAAAAGTTATCAGTTAACTGAATGCTGTGTGTAAAAGTTATTAGTTGACTGAATGCTGTGTTAAAAGTGATAAATTTACTGAATGCTAGCTATTAGAGGATGTTTCGGACAGGATAGTTGTTTTGTGTCAGTGATGCTTGATTAAAATGGGACGTTTAAAAAAGATAATCAGGAACATGAAAACACACACACACGCACGTGCACACACACATATTGACATGCAGCACATCAGGAAATACTATCAATGATCAAGATATTCTAAAAACTAACAGATTTTGAAGTAATAAACAATATGGTGTGCAAGGAAAACTGCCAACTGCCAGGATTTTAGGGTAATCAGTGGAGTCCAATCAATAGAGCAGTGTTTCCCAACATGCTACCCACAGCTGGGCAGTTTGATTGTTGTTAAGGGGAGAGGGAGGGCAATTCGAAAATGGACTCATCCACAGTTTAATTTACATAGGGGGCATAAGAATTTTAGAAAGGGTTGGGGGGGGGGGGGGCATGGTACAAAAAAGGTAGGAAAACACTGCAATAAAGTATCTGGGTTACCAGTGAAGAAATATACATCTCAGTGATTGTGTTGTGATTATTTTACCTTTTGCGTTTTTCTTTTATTGATCATTATTTATTCATTTCTTTTTTGAAAAATGACATTTATCTCATTGGGACTTTCCAACATTTATGTTGTTGTTAATTATGCTTATATTGAACATATGTGGTGCAGACCGTAACTGTAGCCGTAGGGATGCAAATGGTCACCTAGGGAGATTTGTTGGCTCTGCCTCTGTTGAAATCCTGCCCAAGACTTGTAGCTTGGTGGAGGATACCAGGCAGGCCTTGAAAGACCTAGATACAGAATTTGGCTGAATGGATAGGCCTCAGGCATGCAGACATCAAGTCCATTGCGTCTGAATGAAAGAGGTGGAGGGAACTGTCAGACAGTTATCAGCAGTTGGTGACCAAAAGACACATGCTGTTGTGTGACTGTGATGGTGATAGGGAATACATTCACCTATCTTGTCTCGAACCTGCTTTGTCATTTAGACATGATCACTTCAAAACGTGTGTAGTTAATACCATTCTACTTTTTTTTTTTATATTGTTTTTCAACTGTCCTTGCTGTCAGATATATTTTTTTCTTGCTCAGATGTTTGTTATGAGCTTGAAGTGTCATTTGTGTTCACTGCTTGCATTTAAATTATTTAAATAAAAATATAATAAATGTTATGAAGAGCAGTTTGCTTATTAAGTATGTATGTATTTGGGGAATTGTGGTGGTGGTTTAGTCTTCTTGCTTCCATTAAACAGTCAGCCAGGCAGGTGCTTTCTCCGCAAAGACTGGCTGCAATGAATCTCCAACACGTTGTTTGTTCACCCTGCATATACAGACTTTCAGAGTGCTGTCCCTCCATCTCTTGATATCTTCCCAGTCTTGCTTGCTTTCAACTTTTCCTTCCAGTGTGGTTTTTATGAGAATGTTGTCTAGGATGAAATATTTAACTTGTCTTCTGGTTATTTGGAGCCGCCATGATGTAGTAGCTAGATGCTCACTTGAAGGTCATGTATTCAAATCCAGATGAAGCCAGGTCTTTATTTTTTCTTTAAAAAAAATTAAATTAACTTCCAGATCGACCCAGCCTTTTTTGGGTATTAGTACTGGCAAGTCAAGGCGGCCAATGAGATTTTGACCACACCATCACCCACCGAGTGCTAATTGGTCTATAAAAAAATAGTCTAGCACTATATGCCCCATACCCCTGAA